CATCCTTTCTGCCGACAGTGGCCAGTACCAGGTGCCCCAGAGGGGGTGTACTGAAGACAATGATCAAGCAATTTGTTTCCTACCATCCTTCTCCAGCTTTTGACAAATAGAGGCCAGGAGCACCACTCCTTACCCCCTGGCTAATAGCCTTTTATGGACCTAACCTCCACGAATTTATCTAGCTCTTTTTTAAACTCTGTTATAGTCCTAGCCTTCACAGCCTCCTCTGACAAGAAGTTCCACAGGTTGACTGTGCGCTGTGTGAAGAACTTTTATTAGTTTTAAACCTGCTACCCATTAATTTCATTTGGTGTCTTCTAGTTCTTATATTATGGGAACAAGTAAATAACTTTTCTTTATTCACTCTCTCCACACCACTCACGATTTTATATACCTCTATCATAACCCTCCTCAGTCTCCTCTTTTCTAAACTGAAAAGTCCAAGTCTCTTTAGCCTCTCCTCATATGGGACCCGTTCCAAACCCCTAATCATTTTAGTTGCTCTTTTCTGAACCTTTTCTAATGCCAAAATATCTTTTTTGAGGTGAGGAGACCACATCTGTATGCAGTATTCAAGATGTGGGTGTACTATAGCTTTATATAGGGATAGTAAGATATTCTTCATCTTATTTTCTATCCCTTTTTTAATAACTCGTATCATCCTATTTGCTTTTTTGACTCCTCTGCACACTGTGTGGACGTTTTCAGAGAACTATACACAATAAACCCAAGATCTCTTTCCTGATTAGTTGTAGCTAAATTAGCCCCCATCATATCGTGTGTATAGTTGGGGTTATTTTTTCCAATGTGCATTACTTTACACTTATCCACATTAAGTTTAATTTGACATTTTGTTGCCCAATCACTCAGTTTGGTGAGATCTTTTTGGAGTCCCTCACAGTCTGCCTTGTTGTTGACTATCTTGAACAGTCAAGATACAGGAACATATCTTAGTTTGTGGGTAAATTAGAAGCAGACTAAAGCACTGAATGGGATTTTGAAAAACCGATCCAGTTTTGCCATCTTCTCCAGAAACAACTACTGTGTCTGTCTGTGGTTTGTTCAATCCCAGGGCAATTTTGTTTTTAATTTTCTCAGTGAAAATGTGCTACCACTGGTTGTCAGGATTGCAACAACTGTTTCTCCTCTGCTAAAGGACCACATCCTGATCTCTTCCATGGCATCTTGCCACCCACATGCAAGGCCAGGAGAGCTGAGGGTGCTCAGAACCTCTGTAACCATCAATGATTTCGGACTGTCCTGGTGGTTAATGTGTGATGCTTAGGCAGGTCTACGAATCCATACTATAGAGAAAGGAGGAGGAGGAATTCATTATATAGGGGTCCAATCTGTTCACTGACCAAACATAAAGAGCCAGTGCCCATGAGACTGATCTGCTTTCTGATCTGATGTCCCACTGGGTGCAGAATCTCCACTAAGAACTCTTCCTTTCTCTCCCCTTTAAAACTCTGCTGAAGAAGCATTCAGCCAAAGTGCTCACTAATTACCCAAGTCAAAATCCAATCAACTATAATTGCTATTTCAAAATTACTCCTTGTGTCTATGCTGCGACTTCTTTTCCTAGGAACTTTAATGAGATACCCTTAGATTCATTCCACAGAGTATCTCTACATTTGCACCCTAGTTCAAACTAGGGATGAAAATGCAGGCATTCGAAATAATCAATGAAGCAGGATTTAAATATCCCGTGCTTCATTAGCATTATCTCTCCGGCGTGCTAGTTCAAATCACAGCTGATTCGGACCAGGAAGTGCATGCCGGGACGCGTTAGTTTTTGAGGAGTAATGTTAGTTCGAACCAAGGGCTTTGGTTCCAACTAATTTGTCCTGGCACGCACTTCCTGGTTTGAATCAGCTGTGATTAGAAGTAGTGTGCCAGTGAGATCATGCTAATGAAGCGCAGGATATTTAAATCCCCGCTTCGTTTACTATTTCGAATGCCTGCATTTACATCCCTAATTCGAACTAGGGTGCAAGTGTAGACATACCCTAAGTGATGGAGAAGAGGGGATTAGAGTTTTAAAAGGTAGGTCTCCAAGCCTTTCAGTCAATAAAACATCAACTGCACCTGAAATCCAGATCTAAAAGTAATTACTATAAAGGGACTACTTACCACTTGACAGAATAACATAATATAGTATTTTTTTCTGAGTTATAGTATTTTTTACTGTTGTGCAAATGTTCCAGCATTGCAGCCAGGGTGAGAGTACAGCTAGATGGGCTGCAGTTTAGATGAGATGTTAATCTAAGATCACAAGTACTTGTTTTTCAATAGTAACAGCATGAATCCACATAGCCTGGATTATCCATTATGATTATATAGTCTGACCTGCATAACACAAGCCAAAGAATTTCACTGAGCAGGAAGAACTATTTTACACCATTTTTCAGAGGCTGCAGGTACAAAGGCTCTGGGTAAAGGAGTCGGCTCCTGGCTGGGGCCAGGGACGAAAGATTTGGGTAGCAGGAGCACGCTCAGGATTCAGTCAGGAGTTTGGGTGCAGGATCTGGGAGGGATTTTTGGTGTAGAAGGGGGTTCCAACCTGGGGTAGGGGACTGGGTGCAAGAGGGGGTTTGCGGTGAGGGGGCAGTACTTATAGTCAGGTGTCCCCTGGTTTGCAGTGCAGCAGGGCTAAGGCAGGCTCCCTGCCTGACCTGGCTCCCAGAAGCACAACATGTCTCTGCAACCCATAGGTGGAGGGGCCAGCAGGTTCTGCACATTTCTCATACCCACAGGCACCTCCCTGCAACTCCTATAGTCCACGGTTCCCGACCAATGGGAGTTGCAGAATCAGCTTTTGGGGCAGGAGCAGTACACAAAGTCCTCCTGACTACCCTTGTGCCTGACACGTCACTGCTTCTGGAAACCATGTAGACCCAGGGAAGACAGAGAACCTGCCTTAGTCCTGCTACACGGTTGCCCAGTCTGTTAATGGCGCAGTCCTTTTTCAATTTTTGTGACCTAACTGCTCACAATCACATTTTACTTATAGTTTCTTTCTTAAAGATAATATGCCACAGATCCCAAAATATATTTATTTTAATCATCTAATCATCAGTCCATGTATGTAACATATCTGACCTTCATTGCAAAAACATAATGTTACTGTTCCTGCAGGTATCACCCTTCTGAATCCATATTACTGGTAAATGCTTACAAATTAGGTTTCCCTGCTCATTTACATTCACCTCCAAAATTAAATGTCAAAAAAAGCAGAGAATTACTTCAGATAAGATCATTTTTGAGACTAGAAATATTTTTTATTTTCTCCTATTTGTGATTTTGTAAGTGCACGAGCAAAACTATTAAATTTCAGTATAAACAAAGCTTTTGTATTAAACACAAAAACAAACAGCCAGGTTAGGTTCAAAGCTGAATAATCTGCAAGAAAGGGTTGAAAGAGTAAACCTTCTCTTTCTTATTTAAGTGCTCTTTACATTAATCAATTTCAATGCCTGATAATTATAGTCCATGTTCCAGACACCAAAACACAAGGTTTATTGTACAAGATGAACATTAATTGATTCCTTACATTTCATATCATGCCTTCAGTAGTGGCCAACATCTGATCCTTAAGAAGTAGGTGCAAAACCCCCATATTGTACATAATCTGTATAATGCTGCCTGGGGGTGACAGAGGCGCCTTCCTGACTAGGGTGGCCAGGTGTCTGGTTTTGAACCGGACTGTCTAGTATTTGAGCTTTCTGTTCAGGAAACAAATTGAGAAAATATAAATGTCTGGTATTTTCTAAATAAGATGTAATGTAGATTGTGATGTAATGTCAAGTGCATCTGGTATTTTTGTTGCTTGAAGAAGTATGAAGTTCAGTTGCTCTTTAGTACACTTTACATAACAACAAATGTTATCAACGGTCTGAAAAATAAAGCAGCATCCATTTGGGGCGTTATGTTTTGTGTGTTAGGGAAGCAGGCATGGTATGAAGGCCCTGTGCGCAGACGTGGACTTAAAGAGGCAGGCACAGTGTAACACAGGGTGGTGATGTGTGTCTGGCACCGGTAGGTTATTAAAAAATGTTCAAGCACAGAGACACGCAAAAGTACATCTGATTGAGCGCATCCCATGTGGAATGGGACTTAAGGGCCTGCCTTCTCCCAACAGCACCATCCCCTGGTTTTCTTCCATTCTCCTCCCCAGAGCTGAGGGAGGAGAAGGGGCCAAGCCCAGGGTGGAGAGTAACTTCTGAGGTCTACAAACTGCCTGCACCCCCTTTCCTCTTTCCCCGTCCCCTGCCTGCACCCCCTTTCCTCCCCCGCCTGCACCCCCTTTCTTCTCTCCCCTTCCCCTGCCTGCACCCCCTTTCCTCCCCACCTGCACCCCCTTTCCTCTCTCCCCTTCCCCTGCCTGCACCCCCTTTCCTCCCCCGCCTGCACCCCCTTTCTTTTCTCCCACACTTTGTCTACTTAAATGATAAGCCCCTGGGCCAGACACAATGGGGTCCTGAATTCGGTGGAGGACTCTGTGCAGCACCATATTAATAAATACGTGAATATATTTGCTCTAATTCTTTTGTCCAGTGTATTCGTGAGAGCTGAGCTGCGTACCCTGCTCTGTTATTGTAGGGTTGCTTATGTGTGTGGAGCTGCTGCTGTGGGATGTTTTTGTTCTTCTTTCCAATGTACTGATGCATTTAGGGAGGAAAAATGGTGGTATTGAATTTGCATGTGCACCTCAGTGCAGAGATCGGCTTGAGATTAATATTTGGTGCAGCATTGTGCATGTGTTGGTGCTTTGATAATAATGTGGAATGCATCAGCAAGTCGTCAAAATGCTGTCGCGTCAGCACTGGGGCAAGCTGGTGTGTAGGTGTGTGTATTTACTGCAGCATTTCTGTTGTAAGGGGTTGGAGGTACAATGATCCTGTGAATTGTGCTGTGGCAAGATAGCCTGCTGTGGAACTTCTGTTTATTACTAATCAAAGAGAACATAGAGAAAAATCTTGTGTTCTGGTCTCAGTTACATGGATGTAAATGCAGATCATTTTGAACAGTTTTTCTACTCCAAGGTACTAGTGAGATCAGAATCTGGCTCGTTGCGTGAGAAACTTCTGTAACTGTGGCTCCGAATTTCGCAGAGCAAGCTTTTCTTACCTTCCCCTTCTTCCGGGGGAGCACTGCCCTTGCTTTTCTTTCTGTGAAAAATACAATCCAAAAACCTGATGTCCAAACCCCAATGTGTTTAATGTGGGTTTTACTTTTTCAAACACTAATTCCAGGAGCGGCTTTATGCCAAATGTTCAGTACGATCTGCCACTCTGTAGTTCAGATTTATTTGCTGTACTCAATAGTGTTGACACCGTAGGAGGGAATTATCCCTCCTCCTCCTCCACTCCTTGCTCCCAACTGCCCATTTCTAAATCTCACCCCATGGTAGTCATTTTGATCACGGAGCACAGGACAAATTGACAGCCTTCCGCAGCTGTGCCAGCCATGGGAGAGCATGCCGTAGCCTTAGATATGAAGAGAAAACAAACCTGGGAAGTCGACGGGGCTGTTTTGGAGGTTTTCATTAACATCCACGTATAAAATAAAATAAACGACTCCTTTCCCCACCCACAGCCCTGCCTCCCACCTGTCACAACCATCCTGTGCCAGCAAGGAAGGCTCTGATCCTGTAAAGCCCAGAGCATGCCCAGCACCACGATTCACTGAAAGGGTGTGGAAGGTGCCCGACACTTGGCAATAGGTGCTCAGAACCACGCAGGACTGGGCGGCCAGGAGCTGTGAGGCAAGAAGTGGTAGGCAGTAGCAACAGGGAGACAAAAGTCAATTGTTAGCCAACAATTCAGTGAGAGGCCAGCCTGAATCACCTCCAAGCCACTTGATTTATGGCTTGCGATAATATGTTTTGGAGCACCACAACCCAGAGTGCTGTGCGGCGTGACCTGGAGAAATAAGTCTATTAACCCTAATCAATCTCCCATTATCCACCCTCACTGGCAATTTAGCCGGTAAAGGAGTCACCAAGGCCCCTCAACTCGGTTTGAACTAATCCCATTGTCTTTCATAATCAGGGGCCATGAAAGAGGAGCAGTTTCTTCTCCACAGCAGCAGCAAAATTATCTCTGGGTGTTTAAAAAGAAAACCCTCCTCTTTCATCTTTGAATGAGAAAATGGAGAATTGTTTTCTTTCCGAATTGCTGGGGCTAATTGAGGCCCGGGGCTCCTGTCAGGATGCAGGCCCTAGTGGGTATTGGTTCCCAGAGCCAGTGGAGAGCACTTAGTCTCAGCAGTAGGTAAACTGCTCTGACAAAACTTCCTGTTGTAATTAGTAAGAGCATTTATTCAGATGAAGTACTTTATTACAGAAGCTAATTATGAAGTTTATCATAGATTCGATGTGCTTTGGAAGGGGTTTGCCTGGCCCTTTGTCATCCCCTTTCTAAAGGAGAAAGTTATTTCAACCTTTGAAGGGCAGAGGGAATTGGCACATCACATGTAGGGCCTAATGTTAATATATTCAGCACAAAGTGTCACTTGAATCCATACCAGGAAAACCAGCAGCACAAAGCCCCTTTCTCACTAAGCCCTTTTTCCTTCCTTTAACTCCCCTCCACAGCTTCACCCCCCATTTTGATGCTCCTTCATTCTAGCAGTTCCCCAACTGGTACCAAATCTGTAAGGCTTTCCAGAGGAAACCCCTGCATTTAGTGGCACTGTACAGTGAAAGTGTGCTCCATACTGAAAATTAGAATCAATTAGAAGTGAGGAAGTCGAGGGGAGGAGATTATTTTAATAGCATTGAAAATGGCAGCCCCTCTCCCACCCATGAAAGATGTGTAGCTGTTTTGGATGATAGCACTGCAACTCAAAAGGTAAAATACACCTTTGTTTGTGGATTCGCCACTGCATTGCTCCAATGTTAGTAATTCCGGTAGACTGTAATACGAGTGTGAACGTGTGGTAGTGAACTTGCTTCTGTAATTCAAAATCTATTACTAATTATTAATAATTTGTCTCTTCGTTTGTTTTAAATAATGAAATACCAAAAGGAATTATTTCTTCACACAACACACAGTCAACCAGTGGAACTCTTTGCCAGAGGATGTTGTGAGGGTGAATACTATAACAGGGTTAAAAAAGAAGGAATCAGTTCATGGAGGATAGGACCATCAGTGGTGGTTAGCAAGGATAGACAGGAATGGTGTCCCTGGCTTCTGTTTGCCGGAGGCTGGGAATGGGCGACAGGGGAGGGATTGCTTGATGATTCCCTGGTCTGTTCATTCCCTCTGTATCGATTTGGTACCTTTTGGTTTTTTATCTCTCCCTTCCCCCATTAGCAGCTCTAATCCTCAAGGCAGCCCAACTGAGGGAGGGTCGGCCACGTGCAGGATGACAAACCTAGGTGTTTTGAAAGCGTTCTTCTCGGGCACCCGGGGCCGTTTTTTGGAGATGAGTTAAGAGGTTGATTGGTGCCTGCATTATCAATACCTCTTGTCTTGTGAGGACACTTCAGTGTGATCGTTTCCCCACACCCAGCTTTTTGGCTGCGCCCACCCCAATCCAGTTTAAGGAGTGCAGGGTTTCCCAACCAATGGGTTGGGACCCAAATATGGGTTGCCATTACATTTCAAAAGGGTCGAACAGTGTCTTCCCCAAGTGACTCTGCCCCCCTCATCCTCTCATTTTTGAATTGCCTTGGGTCACCAAGTCTTTCTGAATTGTCAAAATGGGTCCCCATCTGGAAAATGTTGGGAACCACTGAACTAGTGTCACGGGGCTGTTGACCAGGTATCTATCAGCAAGAGTAGTTCAGAGCTAGTCATGTAATTTAAGACCTTTTGTGTGTGAGAGATTGAGCTGTATTTTGAAAATATTAAGAACAAGTGTGTTTTCTCACAGTCTTGCATATGTGAGATGCAGAATGAGTGTGTGGCTAAAGCCCAACGCTGAGCCTTCCTTGGGCTTTGATGTAGTTTTTGACACTGACTCAGTTTGTAGACCTCAGAAGTTACACCACCTCACTTTCTTCATTGGTACACTCTTGGGTGGGTGTAAGTTATATAGAGCTTCTCTAAGGTTTTTTGAGTGATTGTGGATTAGGAATGTTAAGGACTAGTCAAATGTTTATCGGATAGTTGACAGGATAGTCGACTAGTTGCTTGCTCCCCTCCCCTTGCTGCTTCTATCAGATCTATCACTTACATCTATCAGAGGGAGCAAGGGGGGCAGAAGAGGGGAGTACTTCAAAGTGGCAGCGCCACATGAAGCCTGGGATCAGCTGGGGATGCCCTGGACTCTGTGCAGTGCTGCCGCTTTGAAATGCTGCAGCAGTATTTCAAAGGGGCAGCAGCCCACGGAGCCCAGGGTCACTCCAGCTGACCCCAGGCTCTATGCGGTGTTGCACCTGAATTTCAAATGGGCAGTGCTGCCCTAATCGACTAATTGAATAGTCAATGCAAAAATGCATCGACTTGTCTATTAGTCAATTACACACTATTTAACATCTTTATTGTGGATAAGGATGTTAAATTTAGATTATCAACTAATCAAATAGTCAATGTAATTTGCATCAACTAATCAATTAGTCGATAAGTCAAAGGCAGAAGTGCCACAAGGAGCACAGCCAGCAGGGGACTCACTGTTCCCTGCACCCACGCTCCCTGCTTTTGAAATGTACAAGAGCCCCCAGAGGGCTCTTGTACATTTCAGAAGCAAAGTGCTGCAAGGAGTCTGGTGCCAGCGGGGGACTGTTTGAGTCCCCAGCTTGCCCCAGGCTCCCCGCAGCACTTCTACTTTTGAAATGTAGCAAGAGCCGTGCTAGAGCTAGGCAGTAAAGTGGAGGAGGGGAGCTACTATTCGAGTCACTAGTCAGCTATCCGATAAGGATTTGCTTATTGGATAGTAGACTGGTCACTTACATCCCTAATTGTGGAGCACTTTGAAATCCTGTAAGGAAGATACTGTAATTTCTGAATTATTTTTGGCATGGAGTTTCCAGAGTAGTTTGTGTTACTATGAACATTTGATCAATGGTAATGTCCAAATGTATAATTTTGTGTGAAACAAGTTGAGATCAGTAGTGACATAATTATTCCAAAGTATTGTAAAAAGGGATATTTTAATTAATTACTTTTTTCCCCTTTTAGGTACAGACACTGCTTCAACAGATGCAAGATAAATTTCAGACAATGTCTGACCAGATCATTGGAAGAAATATCCTTTCTTCTTGTAAAATGGCTCTGATGGCAAGTGTAGAAATATTTATGTATATTAAATTCTAAATTTGCAAGCCAGATTTCTAAAGGCACTGTAACAATGTGTAAGGATGTAATCAAATGATGATAAACTGCTACTAAGTGTAAACATTACAGTTAATTTTCTTTAACTCAAGCTAACTTGATGACATGAGCTGTCGTATTGATGATCTGGAGAAAAACATTGCAGACCTCATGACACAAGCAGGAGTGGAAGAATTGGAAGGAGAGAACAAGATGCCTGCTACTCACAAGAGTTAAAGTGAGGGAATTCTTCTTAACTTTCTGAGTGAAATCCTGTTCTGAAATGGCAAAATTCCATTTACTTTAAAGGGGCCAGGATTTCAGCCTCTGGTGTGTGAGCCAGAGTCTGAAATCTCCAGAGAATAATTCTGAAAATACTATAATAAAAAATTGTATTTAGAGCATGTTCTAGAGCTCATTGCATGATAAGATACAGAAAACTGAAAGCTCCTGCCAGCCTCTTTAAACAGGCTGTTTCCTTAAGTGAAAAGTGGTACAGAATATTAGAAGTAGAAATTTAAAAAAATAGAATGTATTAAAGGAGCAAAATGGTGAAATGGCTATGTTCTCTGTTGTTCATTTACCCTGACAGCATACAATTAATGTTTGAACAATATATAATATTAGGCATTCCCCCCTCACCATCTAATTTCAACCTTTCTGCCTCCCTGGAAGTAGTACTAGTATGTGTCACACAAAAACACTATCTGCTTTTCAAGAAACAGCCAAGTAAAGTATGGCTCCTGGCACAGCAGATAAAGAATGACAAAGTCCCCACTAAGAATCTCATAAATAATCAAGGTTGTTGCAGAGCATAGTGAATGTGCTGTTGGTGCGCTGAAGCTACTATGACATATGCTCGACCTATGAATGTGTTTTAATTAGTGGGATACGTTTCATGGGCGTTGAGATTCATTTCAGTTTCCCAAATCCACTTTTGTAATAATAGGAGGGCAACTAATTGAAAACAGTAAAGCACTAATCATGCTAGTGCAAGATTGTAAATTAGTGGTTTCAAGGTGACTAGTAAAATGCTTTTGGAATAGTTTCACAACTTCAGGTATAGAACCAGATAGCTTCTCTCTAATGCTATTATGGACACTGCCTCAGGGGTTGTTCCCTCTTAAGATTTTCCATCCATGAGTGAGTTTTGTCTTGTGCACCAATATTAAGGTCTTGTGTGCTTGTTTGGACGTGTGCCACTGTGGCACCCAAGTTATAAACCTCTCCTCTTTTCCCTCTGCTGCCTTGTCTTCCACCTTCCCCTTGCCTCATCTGTTCCCCAGGTGCCGCCTGCTGCTGCTGCCCCTCACCCTCCTCTGCTGCCTTTCTCACTCCACTTAGCCCTCCTGGGACCTGCCCCCTCTCTGACTTCTGCACCTGCCCTTTCCCCCTGTGCCCACCCCTCCTAAAGCCCTCCCCATCACCTCTAACAACTCCCCCATCTACCTGCCCTTCCTCTTTCCTCTGCCCTCTGGTACCTGACCCTCCCCTTCCTGTGTCTGCCCTTCTGCTTCACTTCCACAATCCCCCTGGCACCTGCACCTTCCCTTACCCCCTGCATAGTCCTCCCTCTTCCCTCACTGCCCCTGCCTTCCCAGCACCTGCCGTTCTTGCCCTCTTCCTCCCTGGTGCCCACCCCCTCACCACCGTCTGCCCCAGTTTAATGACTTGCTCCATCCCCCACCTTCTTTGTGCCAACCCCTTCTTTCAACCCCTCTTCTCCAGGCACCCACTCCTTCCTCCCTCTTGCCCCCATTGTCCCTCCCCTCTGCTTCTTCCCTTTCCTCTCCCAGAGAATCACCCTGCCTCCTTCCTTCTCCCATCCTGTTCCCTCCCTCCCTTCCTGCCCTTTCCTCTCATTGTCTCCTCTTGGCCTCCTGGCATTTATCTCTCCTCCACCCTGCCCTTGGTGCCTTTCCCTTTCTTCTCCTGCCTGGGTCCTCTCTTCCCCTCTCTGCACAAGTCCCTTTCTCTCCTTACCTGAACCTTCTCTTTAGTTCTCCCTCTACCCCTTCCTTCCTCTTCTGCCATCCTGACACCTGCATCTGCCAGGCAGGGCAGCATGGTGGGTGGCTGCTCTGTGCATAGGGGCTGGAACCAGGGCTGCGGTGCTATTTTTAGTACCTAGTCCCAATCCAGGAGCAGCTGCATCACAGTCTGGCTCTAGTCCCAGCCCACGAGGCAGCTACCTGCCATGTGGCCCAGGCCCAGGAGCAGCTTGGGGCATGGCTCTGCTGAGAGGGTGGGCGAGACTGAAATTCTTGGTACATGCCCACACAGGCCCGCACCTTACAGGGAGCCTGGTGGTTAATCTCTGTGAAGGAGAAATAATTGAGAGAGTATGCTTTCATCTTGACTATCTGATGAATGTATTTTCTTAGGATGTTAAAACAAAGTGAAGTAAACATAGGTCTTGATTCAGCAAACTCTTTTTTGTAATTATAGCTAGCTGACTGGTTTTATTCTTGAACATTTGTTGAATTATAGACTATTCATGTAAGTAAAGTTAAGTGTTTAGTTGCACTAGAGTTTAATTTTTACTTTTAAATCTGAGGGATTTTTTATACTTCCCTTAGGTCACAGGGAATCAATTACTGTAACTGTAATTATAGCATGCTTCTGTAGTGAAATTCCTATTAATAGTAATATTCTGTCTTCCCCTCAACAGGTTGCCAATAATTTATGATGAATGCTGGAATACACTTTTTTTTACAGATCCACAGGATTACAGAATTTTTTGCAAATGGTGTATGTAAAAGCATTTTATATGGTTATAGAGCTTGCATTCCTAATGTATATTGTATAGCTAGATTTAGATTAGTATATTTTGATTTTTGCAGTGTAGTTTCACACTTTTTGAATTCTTGTTATAAGGATCAATTGTATTAAAATACACTTGATGGAGCTTAACTATAACTACTGAATTTGAGTGGAATTTTTCGTGAAGACTTTTTTTACTGTACTTTAATTTCTTTTTGATGACTAAAAATCTAGTGATTTCTGTCAAATTGAAAAAGTACTTGTCATATTGTAACTTAACACTTTTGGGGAGCGAAGCACAAGATTGAAATTGAATTATAGTCTTAGCATCAATCATTATACCAGTACAAAATAATATATTGTTTTTAATGCATCCAGTAAAATGCTCTTGGATACTTAAGATGTGAGGTGTACACATTTTTTTTACTTGTACTCCTAGCGTTACTTCACCTAGTGTTTGGTGTCATGACTAAGAATTGGAAGGTGAAGTGATGTGATAGAAACATCCCTCCAAAGGGTAAGAAACCACTGTAGCTCAAGTAGGTTATTCATTTAGAAAGCTGAGATGCTATCAATAAATCCCATGATGACATTTTTCTTAGCTAAGAGTTTGTAGTAGTATAGCAAGACACTACAACAAAACCCTCCTAGTATACATTCATCATCAGTGTCATAGCTGAAAAATAGCATTTAAGTATTGGGCATATTATAAGAAGACACTGTCTAGGAAATACTGAGTACCTGGTCTTTGAGCATAAATCATTGGCACTGTATATGAAACCAAGCCGCTTAGCTGAGAAGCGGAGTATTCGGTAATCTTGGAAGGAGGGAATCCATTTTTAAGTTATAAAATCCTGCTATTATGAGCAACAAATAGGAGAGCATCTTCATAATACCCTGCTTCAGAAACTGTCTACCTTTTTCTTAATCATATCCATTTTTTACCTTTTCTTAAATTCAGTAGATTGAGTTTGAGCATTTGGAAATCACAAATCTTTGTTGAAAGAATCTTTCTATATCTTTTCACGGTTTATGAAGAAAAATGACTCAAGTACTCGGATGATACTATACGACTGGTTTGAGAGATTAATACTTCCCAACAACTTGTTTGAGAGATGACTCTAAGCAGTCATTAATAACAAAGCTGATATAATTCTATAGATAGATGTTTATACTGTACCACACTTAATGCTGGTATGAGTGCCTCTAAGTTAACTTCATTGGAATTATGAAGGCAATATGTAGGGATATGTCATTTCTCAAAACAGTGAAAATTGTATTGAGAGTTCAAAATGTTAGGTGAAATTTTTTGATTGTGGAAAATGTCTACTGTACCACCAGCCTTACATTTGTTGTACTGTCATTAAAAATACCTAATAAAATTGTTAAATGGTAACTTAGTCAAATTATATAATGTAAAATACTGTATGGGCATGCACAAAAGCTTTTAACTTGGAGTTTATACAAGTCACAAAGGCCTTTGCATAGATGTTTCAGGTATATTAAGTGTAATGAAGAAGTTATCTGCACACTTATGGTTAATGTAATTGTAACCACATAAGGAAATTTGATATAGAAATTGTATATCTGGGTGTTTGCAATACTATGTTCAAAGTGTGGTTGAGTGTCATTTTAATTCTCAGGTGTATTCTTATATGAAGACATTAGCAATAACTTTCTATGGGGGGAAAAATCAAATTTTAATTTCTTTGCATAAGAGTTTGGCAGAGAACTAGCATTAGAATTTTTCTGGGAGATGTAAGTAAATTTTCTCATCTATATTTATTTTAGTGGAAAATTTCTGCTTAATGGAAAAGTTATTATATACTTAGATTGTTCAGGTAGTATTTCCCTGTACGATTAGTCTCTTTAGCAGTATCAGTAGATAAATGGTAATCTGGAAAGTATAATTTTGTGCAAAAAATGCCTTTCACTCATTTACTATCATTTAAGATATGCACAGACTGTTTGTACTAATTGAGTTACAATAAGGTTATTCAAGACATAAATATAAACAATGAATCTAGCAAAATAAGATTCTTTTGTCCTAGTACAGATGAATATACATTTGATCCGTATTATTACAAGTACAGTAAAACATTTAATATGCAGTCTCTTTATGGATTAAAAGTTGTTCTTTCCCATTTTCAATCATCATATTAGTAAGGTTTTATTTTATATGGATTCTTCATTTTACAAAATACAGGACAGGCCTTTTATTATGAGGCATAATTAAAACACATCTATTATCCTTTTGATAGTGGTGGTGGTGGCTGGACCTGCTAGCTGGCAGAAGTCCCTGCAGTTATAAGTGTAAATTTATCAAATGTATTCCTTTTTAATGGGAGAAGAATCACCTTAATATTCAGTTTGAGAATCATCCATCAACTTCAGAAGGCACCATTGTTCATTGGGGAAAGGGCTGGATAGTTCCTCATTTTTCTTTTTTGAAACATTTTCCCTGAAGTACAATAAATAGACTCAAACAAAAAACCAACAAACAAAAAAAACCATGAAAGATGCTCCATTCAGCCCTAGGGCTGCCTTTTGATGTTTCCTACTATAAAATATTCAGGATGAAATAAGTCATCAGATGTGTTCCTGTCATTACAATCTGAGTTATCACTTTCCATTTTATGAAAAGCAAATAGTTCTTTATTTTTACATTAGCATACCGTGCTGTGTATTTTCATACTCATTCACAAGTTAATTGAGCTACAAATAAACCAAATACCGTCTCAGGTTTAGCATATGCCCATATACTAGGGGCATTGAACTTTCCAATCTGTAGTTGCTAAAGTTAGTGCAACTCTTCATTTAGGACGTGTGGGCAATCATTTGACGGGAGACCACTCCAAAATTGTGCTAAAGTGGTCAAGGGCCACACTTTTCTATGGAGGGAGTATGGGATGCGGGACGGAGTGCATGGTCAGCGAAGAGGTATGGGTGCAGAAGAGGATTCTGCCCAGGGCGGGGGAGGGGGGGGGGGGTAAGAGGGAGTGCAGGGTCTGGGAAGGAGTTGTGACTGGAGGTGTGGAGTGCAGAGGGTTTGGAGGGTGACCTGAGCCAGGAGGCAGTGGTGTCGTAGGACAAAGAGTTGGGTTGTGGAAGGAAGTGGGGTGTCAGAGGCAGGCTCTGGCCAGGAGGCGCTTACCAGCAGTCCAGTGGGACCATTGAACTAGTGTAGTGTGCTGTTGAGACTGTTTGGAAGTTGCAGCTAAGTCTGGAATGTGACTGTTGCTTTTTAAATGGAGCTTGATGGTGGGAGCAAGTAACACTGGCACTTTGGACTATACAAGTTGTCTATGAAGCCCCCAGTGGAATTGAAGGTATTGAGTCTAGGTCATCGAGGAAGCTTGCCTTTCCCTGGTACACTGCCCCAGTTGTGGTTAGAGGTACAAAAACTGGAATTCCCTTGTTATAAGAGGAAATTGTTAGTTGGCAGGATGCCTTGATTCTCAAACATACTTCCATCCACCAGACATGGTACACAATTCACATTTTTCCCTCATGCACTTAGCGGATCCAAAAGCCTGGGGAGGGAAGGAGTTATTGAATGGTATTAAAGCATCATGTATGGGTTCAAGTATTTGTTTTATTATTGTGGAGTTAAAGTTTTGCAAAGAGGTACTAGGGGTGGGATGTTCTTTTCCAAATAAAAAATTCCAAATAATTGATAAACATTTAAAACTGCTCAATTATATGTCAGAGACCATAGAATTTTTTTTTCCAAACTAGACTGATTTTCTGACTGACAAAGCATGGCAAACATACGGTACAATACACATTTTCAATAACAGTACAGTGACCTTAAGTACAACAGTGATAGAAATGTAGCCGTGTTAGTCTGGGGTAGTTGAAGCAAAATGCAGGACAATGTAGCACTTTAAAGACTAACAAGATGGTTTATTAGATGATGAGCTTTCGTGGGCCAGACCCACTTCCTCAGATCAAATAGTGGAAGAAAGTAGTCACAACCATATATACCAAAGGATACAATTAAAAAAAAGAACAAATATGAAAAGGACAAATCACATTGCAGAACAGAAGGAGGAGGCGGGGGGGTGGGAAGGGGGAGGAAGGAAGGTAAGTGTCTGTGAATTGATGATATTAGAGGTAGGGAGAGTGGGATGTTTGTGAGTTAATGGTATTACAGGTGATAATTGGGGAAACTGTCTTGATAATGGGTGAGAAAGTTCAAAGACTTGTTAAGTCCCTGGTGGTAAGTGTCGAATTTTAACATGAATGACAGTTCAGAGGATTCCCTTTCAAGTGCAGATGTAAAAGGTCTTTGTAGCAGAATGCAGGTGGCTAAGTCATTTAGAGAGTGTCCTTTCTGGTTAAAGTGGCAAGAAACTGTTTTCTCTTTGTGATCTTGTCTGATATCTGTTTTGTGGGCATTAATCCTTTGGCGAAGTGTCTGAGATGTTTGTCCAATGTACATAGCAGACGGACACTTTCGGCACATGATAGCATAGATTATATTTCTGGATGCGCAGGAATATGTGTTCTTGATCTTATAACTCACTTGGTTAGGTCCAATAATGGTATCAGCAGAATGAATATGTGGACAAAGCTGGCAACGGGGTTTGTTGCAAGGGAAGGTACCAGGGTTGGTATTAGTGTGGTATGTCCTGTGGTGGTTGGTAAGAATCATCTTGAGGTTAGGTGGTTGTCTATAGGAGACTATGGGTCTGTCTCCCAGAGCCTCTTTGAGTATGGTATCCTGTTCCAATATAGGCTGTAGTTTATTGATAATGTGTTGGACAGGTTTAAGTTGGGGGTTGTAGGTGATGACAAGTGGTGTTCTATTGTTGGTTTTCTTGGGTCTGTCTTGAAGTAGATGGTTTCTAGGTATTCGTCTGGCTCTTTCAATTTGCTTTTTTATTTCTCCGGGTGGGTAGTTGAGGTTTATAAATGCTTGGTAGAGATCCTGAAGCTTCTGGTCTCTGTCAGTGGGGTTAGAGCAGATGCGGTTGTATCGAAGGGCTTGGCTATAGACGATGGATCGTGTGGTGTGTTCTGGATGGGAGCTGGATGCATGTAGGTAACTGTATGAGTCAGTGGGTTTTCTGTAGAGAGTGGTGTCTAATTTTCCATTGTTGATTTGTACGGTGGTGTCCAGGAAGTGGATCTCTCGTGTAGAATGGTCCAGGCTGAGGTTGATGGTGGGGTGTAGGTTGTTGAAATCTCTGTGGAATATCTCCAGTGTTTCTTGGCCATGTGTCCAGATCATAAAGATGTCATCGATGTACCGTAGGTAGAGGAGGGGTGAAAGGGGACGGGAGTTGAGGAAACGTTGTTCTAGGTCAGCCATAAAGATGTTAGCATACTGTGGGGCCATGCGTGTACCCATGGCTGTGCCGCTGATCTGGAGGTATAAGTTGTTCTCAAACTGGAAATAATTGTGGGTGAGAACAAAGTTACATAGGTCTGCTATCAGGTTGGCAGTAGTGTCCTCTGGGATAGTGTTTCTAATTGCTTGTAATCCGTCTTCATGTGGGATGTTGGTATATAGAGCTTCTACATCCATGGTGGCAAGGATGGTATTATTGGGGAGGTTATCGATGTTTTGTAGTTTCCTTAGGAAGTCAGTAGTGTCTCGGAGATAGCTGGGGGTATTGGTTACGAAGGGTTTGAGAAGAGTGTCTACATAGCTGGATAGACCAGTAGTGAGCGTGCCAATACCAGAGATGATGGGACGTCCGGGGTGCCCAGGTTTATGGATCTTGGGAAGTAGATAGAACAATCCTGGTCGGGGGTCAGAAGGTGATTCTGTGAGGATTTGTTCCCGAGTAGCTGTGGGGAGGCTTTTAAGGAGACAGTGTAGTTTCTTTTGGTAGTCCAAGGTGGGATCAGAGGGGAGAGGTTTGTAAAATGTGGTGTTCGAGAGTTGTCTGGTTGCCTCCTGGTTATAGTCGGCCTTATTCATAATGACCACAGCACCCCCTTTGTCAGCTGGTTTGATTACAATGTCCAGGTTGTTTTTGAGACTCTGGATGGCATGGTGTTCAGCGCGGCTAAGATTGTGTGTCGCTTGTTGTCGTTTGCGAATAATGTCAGTCTGTGCGTTGTTGCGGAAGCTGTGTATATAGAAATCCAGATTGTAATTCCGACCGTCAGGGGGAGTCCATATAGAATTATTTTTCCTTTGGTGTTGGTAGGGGGGATCTGGTAGGTCAGATTGATGTTCAGTGGTGGTTTGGAAATATTCTCGGAGACGGAGGCGGCGAAAAAAAGCCTCAAGGTCACCACAAAATTGTATCCAGTTTGTGGGGGACGTGGGGCAGAAAGAGAGACCCCGGGACAAGACAGACTCTTCTGCTGGATTGAGTTTGTAGCTGGAGAGGTTAACAATATTATCCGGTGGGTTGAGGCAGTTGCTGTTGTAGCCAG